AACCTTTGCCTCTGGATTTTTGCCTAGAAGGTGGTGGTGGGCAGCCAACCCCAATTGCTCAGTCCAGAACTGCTGGGCTCATACCCCCCAGGGTGGATTTCGATCTGCTTATATCCATCTATAGCCTCGATTGATAGATTTAGCTAATGAACATTTAAAAGTAGATTATCTGATCATAGGGCATGGCATGTAGAGGAATGAGCTTCTAGAAAAACTCAGCTGTTTAATAAACAGAAGTAGAGCTGACCAGCTTGGCATCCTTATGCAATAAGAATGTATTACAATTGATTATATATTGTTAGCAAAACAGAAGGAAAAAAACAACAACCAAGAAGGTGAGCCTTACATTTTTTTCTAAGAAGCAGCATTTCTTGGTAGGCAGTAGAAAAGGGGAGTTGTGTCATTCCTCTCTGCATAGTAGATAAACATACAGGCTTTGTAGCCACATTGGCTGCCTTCAAATCCTGACTCAGCCTTGGGCTAATTGAATCTTCCCAGGCTTTCCTTCTTATGGGTAGGATGGAGCTCAGAACAGTGCCTCTCCCACAGGGATGATATGTAAGGGCTAAATAATGCATGTGCTTAACTAAAGTGCTTAAACTGTGTGTGTGGCCCTCAGTAAGTCCTTACCAAGACGTAGCTCTTTCATTACTGCTGGTTATCAGGAAGTCAGTCACTGAGCAATAACCTGTGTGACATTCTCAGAATCCTTGCTCAAGCCTTGGGACAGGATGACTTTCCTCTATTCTAATCTTACTAGTAACACTAGAGTTCTTAAAAAATGTAAATATTATTGTGCAATAACTTGGCATGAGGCACCATCTGTATTAGTTTTCCAAGAATTTCTTATGCATTAGTTCTGTTGGAAGACTGAGACCTGTGTTTATGTAACAAACTATAAGTGTAAGTAATTCGAATCCAGAATGGTTAGAAACTCAAGAAAAATGATTCAAGGCCTCCAACAACTGTTCATATAATAAGCTGGTCTTGATACTCCTCAAAATTGACTCTGGAAACATTAAATAGATATATTTTCTTACATATAATTTGTTCATAGTTTATCATTATTAAGATATTTTCATTATTAATTACACATTTATAAAAATACAAAAAATATTTACTGAGCATTGGGGTAGCATTCATATTTATTTTTCTTCTCCTCACTCTCTTCCACCCTCTTATTCCTACCCTCCCCTTTCTTTCTTCCCTTTTCATTTCCCTGGGACATATATTCAGGAGCAGAATTGCTTTGCACATTTTATATATTAACCTGCTTGTTGGTTTTAGATATTGAAAGTATCTCCTTCCATTTTGTCAGCTACCTGTTACCTTTGTCTGTGTGGTGCCTCTTACCAAACAGATTTTTAGTTTTGGGGTAATCAGATTATGGTTTTGATTCTACTCAAGATGGAGTGAGTATTCTTTACCCCACTTCTCCCCATGAATGTAAATATACTGAATAGAATGCATATTATAGTTGATTGCCTAATTAAAAATATAAAAATAAAAAAATCAATATTCTCCAAAGAATTTAAACAAGGCCTAGAGTCAACGACAGCTATAAATTTTCCTCTAAATTGTTTTAGTTAAGTCATGTGTATTTCAGCATGTATTGTCATTCAATTCTAAGTATCTCTTAATGATTTTTATTATTTTCAGCGGTCTGATTATGATGTGGCTGGTATGGGATTCTTTGAGTTTATCTCATTTGGAATTCACTGAATTTCTAGAAAATAGAAGTTTATGTCTTTTGCCAAATTTGGAGAGTTATCAGCCATTATTTCTTAAAATATTTTTTATTGACTACACTGTTTCTCCTCTCATACTAGGACTTTGAAGACATGAATATTAGACATTTTCATATTGTCACATAGTCTCCTGATAGTCTGTTCATTTTTTCTTCAATCTTTATTCTCTGTGTTGTTCAGAATGCATAATTTCTATTCATCTGTCCTCAAATTCAGTGGTTCTTTTCCTTTGTCATCTCCATTCTGCTTACTGAGACCATTTAGTAAATTTAAACATTTTTGGTTATAGTAATGTACTTTTCCCTCCTAAAATCTTCATTCAGACCCTTTTTATATCTTCTGTTTCTCTGCTGAAACTTTCTATCTTTCCATTTGTTTCAAAGAGGTTTCCTTTTATTTGTTGAAGCATGATTATAATGGTTACCTTAAGTCTTTGATAATCCCAAGTCTTTGTTATCTTAGTATTGGTATCTATTAACTGTCCTTTTTGCTTTTATCCTCACTGGAGGCCATTTTTTCTTTGCTTTTTTAGAGAAAGAGGAAGGGAGAGAGAGAAACATTGATGTGAGAGAGAAGCATCCATTGGTTGCCTCTAGTACACGCCCATTCCAGAGATCACACACAGCTGTACCAGGGATCACTCATGCTGGGACTGGGGCCTGAACCCACAACCTAGGCACTTGCCCTGACTGGGAATTGAACCTGCAGGCTCTCAGTTGCGGGATGCTGCTCCAACCAACTGAGCCCACTGCCAGGGCTTTATTGTCTTTTTCTTCATAAGATATTGAGATTTTTCTGGCTCTTCAAATGTCAAGAAAGTTTAGAATGCCTTTGGGACATTTGAGTACTATATTATGTGACTCTATGTCACATGAGCATGAAGAGTTTGGAACTGGTCTCTGTGAGCCTCTTAGTGCTTAGATGCTTAGATATCTAAGAATTATTTTCTGACTTTGAATTCTTCCATGGAGAGTTGCTTATATATTTCCACTTCTGCTTTAGTAGCATTTTGATGGGGAATTTTTTATTAGGAGAGCTCAAATTCTAGATCTTGAGATCTCAGTCTTTATGACTTCTTATGAATCATTGTTCTCTATTCTGCTTTTTTCTTATATTTCAACATATTAATCTGATTATCTTTTTCAACCTTATAGGTTTTTAGCTGTCCATGAAACAAAACTCTCCATTTTCATATTTAGTGAACGTCTTTCTTATCCTTTTTAAGAGTTTCTTAAATAATTACTTTTTTTCTAATTCACCATTTTTCTTGATAGAGGCAATATGCTAGCATATATATACTTTTTATTCTTAGCTGAACTTGTACCTATCAGGTTTTTCTGAAGCTGTTCAATTCTGCATTTTTGGACTCTGACTTTTAACCTGATGTTTACAGCCTCAAGGAGTGTGTCTGTCTTTGATGCAGAGGGGAAAAGGAGAAAAATGGTGCATACTTTTGATTTTGGAGTTTTCTTTCCCATTTCTCTCATCTTTTTCTCCTTTGTGACTTTTTTTCTCCCAAGAGATGCATAATCAGCTCATTAGAAAAACACTTGACTTTTAGCAACTCAGTTCTATAAATGTAAAGTTGACACATGCAAATTCAAGGTTCTAGAACTCTTGCTTGGTAAAGAACTACTCTTTAATCAGACTGGTGACGAGGGTACTATTGAATTTCAAATGAAGGGCACAGTGTGGTTTTGTGACTTGGCTTGCTTAACTAGTGAGGCTATAAATGGCCATGGCTGTTTTCTTTTATGCTGCCACAAGGCAATCCTTTTTAGAAACTCTTTTAAAATCTCCAACACAATAGATTTTTCCTACAATTGAGAAAATAACAGTCCATTTAAAAAATAGTGAGACTTTCTGTAACTACCTGAAATCATTTTGCTGATTTGTCACATGAAACATGCTGTGCCTACTGTGAACATTGTAACATATTTTCATAATATTATCTCACGTAATCTACGTACTGGTTATTTAATTCTCTTCGATTTCCATGGAGAAAATCTTAGAAAATATTATCTTCAAGAATAGAAAAACGGTCACTTTAAAGAGGACTGGAGTATGTGTCATCCATTTCAGACTAGACATATTCATTTAACTGAAAATCCTAGTGTGAGCCTCTTATGTTCTTAGATACTTTTATAACACTGTTACATAATAGAGTCCTATGAAGAAACAGGCTAATGTAAGATAATTATGGCTGTTGAAGGGGGGAAGCTTGACCGGCCTGCGTGTGTGTGCACCTGTGCACATGCAAAATCAGTGGGCAGGGGAGCTGAGGGTTGGCACTCAGCACAGTTCATAGCACTATACAGATAATGAATGAATTTTATACCTATTTAAAATTAATTTAGGAACTAATAAAAATTAAATGGCTTCCACTTTCATGGCAGTTACAATCTTGTAAGAGAGACAGATACTTTAATACAAAATGATAAACCAGCAATTTCAGGCAATATAGGATAGTTATAGATGGCACTTACTGAGTGTTTCCGGTGTTACAAACACATTGCATGTATATTTTCTCATTTAATTCTCACAGAAACTGTATGAGGTTGGTGCTGTTATTGTTCCTGTTTTAAAATTAGGAAATTGAGGCTTAGGTCAACCAAAGTCACATAACCACTGAGTGGCACAGCTGGGGTGGAATTTAGATCTAATCATGCTCTGCAATTGCTTCCTTGTGCTGCAGAGTAGAAATGGGTGGTGGGGAGCTAGAGAGAACAGGGACAGTAAAAGGTTGATGCTGAAGAAAGTACTGAGGCTTCGGGGATGCTATTGGCAATATCAGAAGAGTATAAGCAACAGATGCATCAAAACACCATTAAAAAATCGCTCTTCGTATCTCCATATGAATTGTTTTTTCTTTGTAGGATCCATTGGAAATGCACAATGAAGGTAGTAAAATCAGGTTTCGGAAATAGAAAGAAAAGTCCTTTCAATGGAAATACTGGGCCTCGTGAAGGACAGGCACAATACTTTAGATATAAAAAGTGTTTCTTTAAATGACTTTGGGTAGAATTTTATTTCTAAAAACAGAAAAGTGTACCGCACAATTGTGCCGTATCTCCCCTAGGTCAGTGAGCAAGCAAGTGAGATTACATTACTCCTTTCTCTTAACAAATTTCCCTTTTATGTGAAAACATTTACTTTCGGAGTTTTAACTGCTCCAGTCGGGCCACTGGTTTCTCCATGTTCCTTCCTATTACATTCTGAATATCATGTTTAATGCTAACTTCTGCCTGACAGGAAGCACCAACAGAGCAGCACACTGTCCACGGTTCAACTCTCTGTCCTCCTTCAGACCTATCCGTTCTGGCCAACGTGCCTTTCGACCCCTAGCCGCCCCCTCCAGGAGGAGCTGTCTGTCCACAACCGCCACAGGCAAGGCTGTCAGAGTGCCATCTTGTGCAACACAAAAGAACCCCAGGGACTTTCAGATCACAAAGACTCTCTAAGTGAAATCCTTTCAAGTGCAATGGGAACGGAAACGAGTTTTACTTAGGAAATTCCTCCCTGGCCTCCCCTTTACAAAGCAAACCAAACCTAGAGAAGAAAGAATCAAAATTTCATTTGTACATTATTTCCACAACGTCATCAATATTTCTGTACTTAAAAAGTTCATGGAACAATTATATTATAGTAAGTTGTCCTGGTAAATTAACCTTGACTTGAGTATTGTTTTTTAGGGTAGCCTTCCCTGCTCTACCTTCCCATTTTGGAAATTTAGCCTTGGAATTTAATAATACCATGAAAGACAAAATGCCCCGCACAATTAGGGAGGTGATTTTATTCAGTTATTGCAACAGGGAAGATGCTCACTGATGAGAAGTGTCTGTCCCACAGAGCAGGAGACGGTCCTGGGTCTTACAGAGCAGGTAGAAAAGGGGGTCAGCAGTGAGTTCCATGAGAGTCATGAGGAAGGAGACGGGTCTTACCTTGGGGTATTTGTGAGCAGGGTGGGCTTTTGCAGTCAGCCAGGGTGATTTCTCAACCATTTCTGCTTTCAGAGAGCACAGAGCTCAGATAAAGTTTGACATTGTCAAAACGTTTCCCTATTTTTTAGCTGTGCTACTGAAAGTAGGTTGATGGGAGTCACTGCTGTAGGATCAGATAGTTTCACTGAAACCACCTCTGGAATGTCCCTTTTAAATGAGGAAACTGAAGCACACCCATTTTAAGTGACTGACTCAAGTTTAAGGGCAGAGTCAGAACTCCCAGGTAGGGATCTTTTGTATTACAGCAGGCTCAGTTTAAAAATAAGTAATTTATTCAAAAATGAATATGATCCTTTTCAGTTATCTTCAATAATACATAATTTTTATTATCGATCTTTTAACATAAGAACATTAAGAAATACCAGAGGCTGTTTCCACTCTGAAGAAGCTAGGAAGCAGGCTTTTTTTATAAATGGCTAAAAATTGTTGAAAGATTGTAAGACAACTCTATTTTTTGTTCACAGCACAGTTAGAATGTTTAATGTTTAAATTAAATGTTAAATATTTAAAATTTCTCTCTAAAATTTTAAACAGCTTTCTCCAAATTAAGAATGTAAATGAACCATAGAAGGCAAACCCTTGTCTATTAAAAGAAGGCTTCACATGTTCTAACAGAAAAACCAAAACTTAATCGACTTTAAAAAATATATCTAAATATCTCAAAATAACTGCTTGTACTTCCCTGAACTAACTCTTAGTTTTAAATACAACTTTTCAATCCTGCAGCAGAGGCATGGTTGAGGCAAGTCAGAAAGACTAACTCATAGTCCTTCTGATAATAAAAACTATAACAATAACTAACATGTACTGCTATTACCCAGTAGGAACTGTCTGATGCTTTAGATTTTTTTTTTAACTAAAATGATGGTTTTCAATGGGAACCAGAGATATGGTCACAATTACATGGTAATGCAAAATTACACAGTGCAAAACCCCGTGTGTGATCAGGAGTTGGAAGGTTACAAAACAATGGGGCTAACATTGGGTACAGAAGAAAAGCTATCCCAGAACCTCAGGAGGCAGGCTAACATGGCCTCTCCCTGCATTCCCGTCTGTGGTCACCCATCTTGTCAGGGCCAAAGCCACTTCTGTCCCCATCACCTCACCCCTTCAGAAACCCCATGGTCCCTGCCTCGGCCTCAGTAGCCACCCCAATCACAGCCCCCTCTGCCATCACGATGATCCTCTCCATAGCTAGCCCCCCATATGAGAGCCTCCCAGTGCTCTTCCTGGGCCATCTGGTTGAGGGGCCTTACACTGGTTGCATTCATTCCTTCAAGAGACGTTCATGTTCTCACATGCAGGATTAGGACACATCCAGTCCCCAGCTTGCTGCAGTCCCCCATCGCCACCACCTCCACTGGGGAGTCCTCCCCAGCTGCCACCACCTCCATGGCCCATGGGCTCTCCTTGCCCTCAGCCTCCACAACCATTGCCACCAACCCTATTGGAATCTGCTTGCCAACTAGCAAATACAGTTTAATAGGATTCCCAGAGAACTCTTTATCATCAAACCAGTCAACAGTTGCTTTAGCAGAAGGTGAGTCACCAAAGGATACTGCTGCCTCTCCACTTCAGCTTGCCTGTTTCCCTGTCTGTACGGATGAATCACAGGCTGTCCTGTTTTCATGTTTGTCTTAATAATACCAATCTGCTTGAAGTAATCAGCCACAGACTCAATTGTAATGTTCTCGCCCAGGCCTTTCATGAAGATGGTGGTGTTCGAATTATCCTGTTCAGAGTCATGTCGGGATCCTTGCTCCCAAGGGCCACCAAATACATTGAAGCCACTACCATCCCTTCCACCCATGCCACCTCTGCCTCCATGGCCACCTCCATGATCTCTGGGTTCATTGCCACCACCGCTGTGTGGTTATAATCACCACCATAGCCCTGGCCTCATCCCCCACATTCCTGCTGGCCACCCCTGTAGCCACTATCACCACCACCACTCAGGTCCTGATGGCCATAACCACCACCACTGCTGCCACCACTCACTGAGGACTGATCTTGGCCACAGTAACCTCCACCACCCCATCTGCTACCTCCACTGCTGCTGTTGTTCCTGTTCTGCTGTCCATAGCCCTGAGGAGGACTGCAGGAACTTTGCTGCTGTGTGTAGCTATGCTGCTGTCTGCCATAGCCAGACTGCTGACCACAGCCCCCATTCGGACTGCTTGTAGTTGCTGCTCTGAGAACTGCTACTGTATCTTCCCGAGTGCTGCTAGGAGCAGGCCGCTGGCCACAGACAGCCAGGATAGGACTGCTGCCCATAAGACGACTGAGAACTCTGGCCACTGCCACAGTCAGCAGTTGAGCTCTATCCTCTGGAGCTGACTGAGTGTCATAGCTGTTCTGTGTCTCTCCGTAAGAACCATCACAGGTGCTCTGGCCACAGCCTGAGTGTCCACTGACTGGCTGTAGCCACCATAACTCTGCTGTCCACAGGGCTGATTGCTCTGCCCGGAATAACCCTGCCCAGGTCGGGTGGGGTAGGCCCCAAGCTTTGAGATGCTTGTTGGGTATAGCCATTTAAGGCCATGTTGGCGCACACACCTGAGGCTTTCTGTATATTAACTCATTCGATACGCACAGCAACCCAATGAGACTGCTATTCTCCTTTTATAGATAAGGACATTAAAGCACTGAGAAATTAAAGGATTTATATGCAAGTTTGCACAACTAGTCTAGAGCTGGGATTTGAACCCAGACAGTCTGATTTTTTTTCTTCCTGTGATTACCAAAATAAATGTGGGTGGAGGTTTATTACTTGATACTATAATATAATATTAAAAATAATGTTCTATCTTTAAAAGATGGAAAATGAGTAAGCAGATATTTCACATATAAATGACAAGTCAGGTTAGCATTAATTTTTGTAAGAAAAAATATTAATTCAATATAAACACTTAAAAGTTCTGACTTTTTGTGACATGGTTGAATTTTTCATCAGGCTGGCCTCCTTTGGTTAGTTTTAGTGATGTCTTCATAAGTTTTAGGAAATTGGGGGAAAAATTCAAACTGGTCAGACTTATCTTAGTTAACTGATCTCTTGTGATCTGGAATGATCTTCCACATTGAGGCAGGGAAGTGCTCCTGGGAAAAGGAATTGGACATTTTAACTCTCCTTATATTTTCAGTTAAAATTAACCTAAATTATCCAATTAGAAACAAACACTCATGGACTTCAAGGGTTTCCAAAGAGTTGAGTCTCCTTCAGCAACCAATTTTATTTGTAACTTTTGCCAAATTAATTACATCTAGGTTGTTTAGCATCTCAAATTCTACAAAGATTAAATGTGGTGATTCTTTGCCCTTTATATGTTGTGAAGATTGCTACTAGAAAGCTAAAGAATGAAGGGATATCCCCTAATTAAAATGATAGATTTAGGGCAACATAAACCTTTAGAGAGGAAAAAAAAGGCAGCTTTTTTTTCTTCCAACTTAGAGCAATGACAAAGTAGTAAGAAAAAGCACATATTTCCTCTACTACCACCCATTCTCACCTACCACCCTACTTTGTTAAGGAATAAGGTAGGAGGTAAGCTTGTTTGGAACAGAAAATCAGCAACACTTCAAAAATTTCTTCTGAAATAATCTGTATGTCAAGCCTCTACATAAACAAAAGATTACTTCGAGAACTTGCTGAACACTACATGATCTTTTGTTCTGAGGACCCAGAATGAATGGGGAATGGTAACACTAAAGCTTTGAGGAAAAAATATCCTCATTAGTGGGGGAATAGTTAAATTACTGGATAACTACCAGTATGCTATGGAATTCTAGGAAATCGTTGAAAAGAATGAAGTAAATCTATCTACACAGACACAAAAACTGTCTATCATGTATTAAGTGGAAAAATGTTCCAGATTAATGTATGTGGTATGACTTAGCTAGTATTAAATTTAGTGTAGAATATATTACCTAATATTTAAATGTTATAAACATATGTGTTGTAATTAGTATGTTTTAATATGCTTGGAAGGATATAAACCAAAGTGATAATAGCAAGGTACTTTGAATAGCAGGCTAGAAGGAGTAGAGGGAGACTGGGAACTTTTACTTTATACATATCTGTACTGTTTGAGTTTGATAATTTTATTTTTTAATACTTTTAAGCATAAAACTATTAAAAATTATATAAGGAAAGAATTCCCTCTGGCATTATTAAACACTGGAAGGAGTTACACAAACAAATCATGTACTATAGAAGGCATTAAAGAATAGATCTATGATAATAACTAAAAGTAGGGAAAACTGAATTTCAGTACACAAAAATTCTAACTATTTCCACTTTTCCCTCTTTCAGAAAGCTACTCTTTTACAAGACCCCCTATATGTTAGTGAGCTCAGTCCTGCCGTCTCTAGCCCATTCTCCATTACAACAGAGGACTCTTTCGGAAGCACAGAATCTGATCCTGTAGCACAGAGCTGACCATGTAGCTCCTCCCTTGTAGCCTTTGAATGGTTCCCCAGCCCTCGGAGGAGGTTCTAAACTCGTTAACAGCTCACACAGATCTTCCTCGTGTCTTTTCATTTTTTCCATTTTCAACTGCTGTGTCCTCCCCACTCCTGCCTTACACTCCTGACCCAAATAAACGCCCTGTTCTCAGAAAGCTCCCTGTTCGTTTCTCCTCTGGGCCCTAACATGCTGGCCCTTATTCTAGAACCCTACCTTCTACTCCTCTTCCCCATCATGAATTAACTTCAACTGCAGCAAGTCTTAACTTACTATCTCTTTCTCTAAAAATAACTTCTCAAAACTAAGTTAAGAGAGGCCCCTCCATAGCATCCTGTGCTTATACACCACGTAACACCAGTCTGTATTAGGATTATTACTTCAGTATGTGTTGTCTTATTACACAGTGTGATTCTTAAGGGCAGGGACTTGGTCACTAGCACATAGAGGCTGCCAATAAGCCTTTATAGAATGAATGAATGAGATAAAATAGAGTTAGGGGACAGATCATAAAGGGCTTCAGGGCTTAGAAGTTTGGATTTTATCCAGATTTTGTTGTTCTGTTAGGTTGTTGTCACAGTCAACCTTATATTGAAGCAGTTACTTGTGATGAGACTATCTCTTCTGGTAATCATGAGCCCCTGGAAAGCAAACCGTACCTCTTATTAATTTTTGTATTTTTCTTACTTAAACAGTGGTCTGCACATACTGAGCATTCAGTGAATTGATGGCATCAACAATTTTGATATTAACTTTAAGTTATGGTTCAGTTTTAAAAGGTTGTATATTGGGGGTCATGTGAATGAATTAAAAGTAAGATTGTTTTAAAAGATGCACATTCATTTCCCACTAAAGGAACCAAAGCTCCTGACAGAAATAACTGATTCTGGATCTGGAGCAGGAAGTACACAAAATGAGTCTGAAACAGTGTGTGCTAGAATGCAAAGCGTAACAGAACCCCGCAGCACAGGAGCCCACATGAATAGCCAAAGATGGAACACTTGAGTACCAGAAAAAATAATGAGTGAGATGGTTGAAGCACAATAAGTATATATAAATTTAGAAGTATATAATGATGCACTATAGAGAAAAAGTCCTCCCCACACTTCCACACAGAAAGAGATAAAAATGTATTGAACTCCAAATTAGCAAACCTACAAATTAGCAAACAAATGGGAAGAATTAAGCATTTATCCTGCCTTTCCTGCATGAACTGTAATTAGTTCCGAGTAACCAAGCAGCACGAATTAATGAGGGAAAATTCCATTTTATAGAATTCCAGCTAATGAATGTGGAAGGTTTAACAGAATAAGAAGGTTGCCTTTTTTGTAACTCCTAACCAAATGATAGATTCATGCAGCAATTCTCAATGGATGAAACCATTCCACAGGAAAGTGAAGCAGAACTTCAAGTCAGGGGATTAGTTTGTAAATGACTAAACTCATCGATCAATCCTAGCATCACTGAAGTGGGACAGCCAGATTTTTGTGCCTTTTGATTTGATGTAATATGAAATGCACAGCACTACTTACGAAGTATCTTTGTTAAAACAATTAAATCTGAACCTGACTTTAAAGTGTGGGTATGTCAGCCTTAAAAAGAAATGAGATTCTGACACATGTGACAACATGGATGAATCCTGAAGAAATGATGCTAACTGAAAGAAGCCAGGCATACATAGAAAGGCAAATGTAGATTCTACCTATACAAGGCAGCTAGAATAGGCAAATTCATAGAAACAGAAAGTAGAATTGAGGTTAACATGGGGGCGAGGGGAATGGGAGTTACTGTTTAATGGGTAAAGAGTTTCTGTTCAGGAAGATGAAAAAGTTCTGGAATTTGATAGTGATGGTTGCATAATGTCATGAATGCACCTAATGCCATAGAACTGTACACCTAAAAATGATTAAAATGGTATATTTTGTATTATGGATATTTTATGCCAAATTTTAAAAAGGTAGGCATGTGTGTAAGGGAATTGATAAAACATGACCAGCCAAATGTTGAAAATTATTGAAGGCAGGTGATGGGTATGCAGGGTTTCTTTTACAATTTTCTTAATTTTTGTGTATGTTTGAAAATTTCTATAGTAAAAGTTTTTAAAAGACTTAGGAAACCTATCAAGCAAATATAATAAGTATCCTATTTATTTCTTAATTTTAACAAAGTGAATATAAAAGATATTTTGAAGGCAATAGAAGACCTTTGAATGTGGACTGGGCATTAGACAGTACCAAGAATTATTGATAATTGTGTTGGGTGTGATAATCATGTCTTTGTAAGAAAATTTTTGTTTTATTTTGATATGTAGGGGTTAAATAACAATGTTTGTGATTTCCTTCTTTAAAAGTATGATAATAGAGATAGTTTAGACTTTCTACATGTTTTCATATCTCATTCTGAAAGAGTACTAGTTTTAATTTTGGTGCTTAAAGTGATTTTTAAGCTAATTGTATAACGAAATGGGAGCTAACTTTGTATATATGTGGCCTGAAATTTACACCTGAAGGCAAGAGGGAGAGTCCTGCCACTGTCTTTCTGCAGGAAAAGCATATTTCTTGCAAAGTTAATTCCTGTGAAGGCAACATAGTGAAAGTACAGTGACTTAACATGAATTCTCAGGGACACAGCGTATGCACAGGATACACATGAAATGGTCTTCACTTGCAAGGCACCTTCTGTTTAAAAGAAGTAAATATTTTTTAGGTTTTCAAATTGGAACTCTGTCACAAAGATGAATTCTGTAACCTAACCATTGTGACATACACACAGTGTGTCTGAGAGAATGCATGAAAGCCTTTTCCAGTTGTAAAGCATGATACAACTTTAAGGTATAATTTTATAAAATGACTGGGTAAAAAATGAGAAAGTATAGGCAAAATAGAGCTTATCATTAGATCAAGAATCCTTTTGTTGCCACATTATTTGGATGGTGTTTTCTAGCTGATGAAAATGTAGAATACCTGTTAACATGAATATGATTTTTCCTTATTCCTCAATTGAAATTAATGGAGTCTTCTGGCAGTGACTTTTTAAATCAGTCAAAGGAAGTTTGTCATCTATGTAAAGCAAAAATAATCTGAATGTTCAAAGAAACCATGACTATATTTAACTTTTCTGTAGAAATATGGACTCCTGAATGTACTTTGAACTTATAATGTATATAAGACTTCAGTTTATATATGAATTGATTTTTAGTATGAAGACATTACTCTGCTTTTTCTTATTAAATTTGTTTTGGCCTTGTTGAAAAAAATAGTTTAGTATTACACTCTATTATCATATGTGCCAAAGGATAAAAAGTTTGTTTCTAAGGGTCTTAGCAAATTGCTGACTCCTATTGGGAAAGACTAGAAAATGAATTTCAAAATAATTCTGCTGATATTGTAATTTTTTTCTGAGCTTTTGCTTTTCTAAGTTATTTTGTTTGTGAAAACTACATTTTTGCTGTTTTTCAAGTTCACAAAGAATAGAGGGACTTTATAGCTCTTTTTAAAATGCAATGTGGTAATAATTAGAAGTGGATATATAGGAAAATGGGATATCAGAGTTCATTCCTACTTTATTTAGCTACTATTTATTAAACACAGTGTTAAGCACATGTGGTAATTAAAGTATCAAGACAGCACAATGGGACAGGTTTTATCATCATCCCCATTGTATAGGCGAGGAAAGTGAGGCAGAGACCAAGCAACTTACATATGGTTATTACTAAACGAAGTAGGGGCAGATCTAGGATTCTGATTAGCCTATTTGATCCACACCCCCCCCCCATGCTTATAATCATGTTCTTCTGCCTGTATAATTGCTATCACTGAATTTTTAATGATTATTTCTCTTCCCATGTCTTCACTAGAAAAGAGACTGCTTTAGGAGGTCTGAATATTTTTATTTTTCTTTTCTTCTTTTTAAATTTTTATGTATGTATGTATGTATGTATGTATGTATGTATGTATTTATTTTTAGACAGTAGGGAAGGGAGGGAGAAAGAAAGGGAGAGAAACATCAATGTGTGGTTGCTTCTCATGTGCTCCCTACTGGGGACCTGACCCATAACTGAGGCATGTGCCCTGACTGGGAATGAAGCCAAAGACCCTTTGGTTTGCAGGCTGGCACTCAATCCACTGAGCCACACCAGCCAGGGCTGAATTTTTTTCTTAATAAGAGAGGATTATTGATTGGATAGGGTAGAACATTTTAGTTTTTTCTTTTACTTTTTTTCAATGGAGTGGGGCAGTGGGCAAGAACCAAGACTCCATATATATAGCTGGTTTCAAGATTTGTGAAGTAAGTGGTAAAAATATTTTTAATTCAATTCAGAAATTCTAAGAAGTTTCCATTAACCTGCACAGAACATGAAACATCTCTTCTACCATTACTTTGCACCCTGCTTTTCTGAATCACTAGTTGTGTGAACTTGGACAGGTTACTTAGCCTTTCTGACATTTTATATGTGCAACAGTACAATAATTCCCAGCTCAGCCCCTTACTGGTGAATGAGTCAGTGCATGAAAAGTACCCCATTTGGGGAAACATGATGGACCTAGAGGGTAGTTCACTAAGTGAAATAAGTCAGGCAGACAAAGACAAATACCATATGATATCACTTATATATAAAATCTAAAGAACAAAATAAATGAACAAACAGGACAGAAATAGGCTCATAGAACAACTGATGGTTGCCAGATGGGAGGGGGTGGGGGTGCTTCATGAAAATGGTGAAGGGATTAAGCTGGTAGCTACAAAATAATCACAGAAATATAAAGTACAGCATAGGGAAAACAGTCAATATTGTTGTATAACTATGTATGGTGCCAGACACTAGACTTATCAGAGGGGTATCACTTTGTAAATTATATAAATGTCTAATCACAATGCTGTATACCTGAAACTAATATAAAATAGTATTGAATGTCAACTGTAATTGAAAAATAAAATAAAATATCCAAACAGGAAAAAGACCCATATTAAAATTCCATTAGTAACAGTTTTACATACCTGTCAATAATTGTTGGTATTCCTCAACTGCTGTTTCTTATGATTTTTACATGTTTTCTTGTGTTTATGTAGATTTGAGGAGAAAATTAACCATTTCAGTCAACTTAAATCTGAACTTTTTCTTAAAGACAATACATTAAGGAAGATACTTTATTTAATTATGGAACTTAAAGTAGCAGCCCAGAAAAACTTTATTTTGGAGAGGCTTTTCTGGAAAGTATGTGTCATATTTTTAACCTTTTAAAACTTGTTTCATCTGTTATCAAATGTAGCATATTCAAGGATAAAGTAAAAGGCTATATAAATAAATATCACCTTTGTGTTTTGATGCTGTATTTTACAATGTTGATTAAATTTAATGCAATTGTGTCTTAACACATGAAATGTGATGTAATCAATGTGTGTGTGTGTGTGTGTGTGTGTTGGGGTGGGGGTGGAGAGTAGATGAGAAGAGAGGAGAGTGGTAGCAAAGATCATAGCTCACATAGTTTGGTTTCACAGAGTCAAAGAAGAGAGGTACCCTGGCTGGTGTGGGTCAGTGGATTGAGCACTGGCCTGTGAACCAAAGGGTCACAGCTTTGATTCCCAGTCAGGGCACATGCCTGGGTTGTGGGCCGGGTCCCCAGTAGGGGGCGCACAAGAGGCAACACACATTTGATGATTTTTCTCCCTCTCTTTCTCCCTCCCTTCACCTCTCTAAAAAATAAATAAATAAAACCTTTTTTTTTTTTTTAAGAAAAGAGTTGAATAAGAGGGGGAACTTCTGGCATGCAAGGTGTATGAGTATAGACAGTGGGATGAGAAAGTGGATTTGAAAAAGTTTTACATGTAGGCCCCCCTACAATAAAAATATATCGTACTTTAAAAAAATTACCTTTTAGCATAGGACTGCTATTTTTAAAAAGGTGACCCCTGGAGAGTCAATACAACCTCATTTTCACTCAGTGAGTTACAGGCTTCTCTGTAAGACTTCCCTAGTTTCATTTGCAGTTTCAGGTGAAAGGTATTGAGAAGCCCAGGTAGTGCTGGTCCTGGTGCCAATGAGGCTAATTCTGGCCAGTGGTCTCATACATAGTTGTTATAATTTTAATGAGTACTTGTGCAGTGCACAGCCTCCCCAATCATACAGGACAGTCCTGGCCATTTCTTAGATTCTAAGTGTTTCACATGTGGGATGACCAACTGTCCCAGCTGACCATCCCATTCAAGATTTACATTTCTATCACCCAAAAGGTTACTTTGTGTCCTTTAGCAGTCAGTTACTCCCAACCCAGTCCTCAGGCAACCACTGTGCTTTCTATCACTGTATGAGCCTTGCCTGTCCTGGGATTCCACTTACATGAACTTGTACACTCTGTACTCTTTTGTGTCTGGCGTCTTTTGGCATAATATTTTTGAGATTCTCTCATGTTGCTGCAGGTAGGTGGGAGATATTTTATGAGAGAAAATTCCTAAACTAGTGAGCAAGTGGGAGATAACAATTGGTCTTTAGTAAGACTTGTAATGTGCTAAGTACTACTCAGGCTTTATAAATATTATGTTATTTAATCCTAACATAACATTTAATCCTAACAGTTCCATGAAGGGATATTATTAAGCCCATGGTAGAGATGAAGAAGCTGAGTCACAGAGTGAGTACACAAGTAATTTGCCAAATGTAGTACAGCTAATCAGTAGCAGAGCTGGGACTTGAACTCAGGAATCTGGCTCCAGAGTCAGTGTGTTAAACCACCATGCTATGCTAATTTATTAGGTCTCTGGGTAAGCTCAAGCACTTCTGATGGGCCTGGTGTACATCTTGCTCCTCCCCTGCTTTTCTCTCTCTTCACCTGCCATCCTCAGCCTCTTCTCATGCCCTATCACCTAAACAAGGGCACACATATCCCCGTCTAAACAAAGAATCTAAGTTGTCACTATTTTAAAAAAAGTTCTAGGGGAAAAATGAATAATAGGAATAGAAAAAAGAGAAGCAATTACATTATATTTCTCATTAGTACCAGCTTGTCTGATTTTATGGACTAGTGCTCATTTTCATGCTTGATTTACCTCATGAGACTGGATAGGAATACAAAAACTTGGTTCCCCACTCTTAAGTCAGTGTTTATTTTGGCAGGAAGGGCAATGTGCATTTCCACTGTATTAATAGAAGTTAATATCTGATAGAAGTTACTGTCATTCTGCACCATCTTCATAGGCTACGGTAGTGCTGTCTATTTATTTTTGTAATAGTAAACATTTTTAAATAAGAGCTTATTTGGTCTTGATTTCATTATATGTTCACAAAGTCCAAACTACTTTGGAAGGGCAGGAGTTATAGTATTCCCCATTTAATATATTATTCTAAGGTAACTGAATGGCTTGCCTGATATTATACACCTACTTCTGGATAATCTTCATTCAGTATTAATGATTGAGGTGTGCCTAGAAGGTATCTCCCAGTCTCACTCTCTAGACTTTAGCTCTTGCCCTGTTCACCAGGACTGTGGTCTCCTGATTTTAAGTAAAAGTATGTTTTCAACTTGGGTTATGCTAGTATTAATGAGAGATATTTAAATCATTTCCTTGTCAAAGAAGAAATTATTTCTTTTTATTTTACTATGTAATCATAGCGAGTTTTACCAACAGACCCTTTACTTCATCTTCTTTCCTGCTTGTTTGCAGACCAGTGACCTTTTCTATTTCCTAGTGAACAAACTTCACGAGTACTTGCCAGAGTCTAGGGATAAGAATGTACTTCAGAATAAAAGCCAAAGAGCTGATGAGCTGGTGTAAGTACTAACTGGATAATCATAGATATTTTTTCCCTGTGGTGTTAAAGTTAAATAGAAGACACTAGACAAAATATATACTGCTTTAATGATTAATGGTGCTTCAAGTTTCCTTCACATAGATTTTTAAAAATAGTATTCATTTTGTTCTAATTTTGAAAGAAAGACTACACAAGAAGCTAGGAATATTGGCTGTCCTAAAGGGGAAAAATTGGGTGTCTGCAGGAAAGACAATTTTTATTGTATTTTCTTTATTGCCTTTGGAATTTTGAGCCAAATATTACCTACTTGAAAAAGTTAAAATTACTTTTAAACAGTAGTGTGTGGTTATTGTAAAAACTTTGGGAAAAATGTAAGTACAAAAAACAATATGAAAGTAACTTTTAATCCTGACATCCATTCAACAAACATTTCTGAGTGCTTACTACGTAACACTCACAGGGTAGGTGCTCCACCAATGCTGGCACTTTGATACACAGAATTTCCTTCCTGTACTTTTCTCCACATAGATATCTGAGTGCAATTCTATCAAGAATTACTGACTTTGCGGAATTCTGAACTTGTACTGAAATCATGCATTTTCATGCTTTTTTTCCCCCTTTGTTTTCTAGGGAGTGCACTGAAATCATACAGACTCTGGGACTGATGTTCAGAGAAACCAAAACTGAGTCATCACATCTGAACACATTGGCAGCTAAGTAAGGTCTATTAGAAAATAGAAAATATTGGGACCTTGTAGTTGCAACCTATTAACTACTCTGTTGAGTGTCTTCTAAGACTCATAGCTTTCTAAATTCTCTGTTCAGTCTCCTTATAAGTATATTAAATTCTTTTGTCTCTCCACCTCCTTCTGTGATGAGCAGATTAATGGGCACATACTGAGTTCTCTCTGTCTTTCTAGATTATTGAGGGCGCAAAGACTTTCTTAGCATAATTTTATCTTTTGTTATTGTCTAATGAACTTGAAAAAGACCAATGACCCATGGCACATTAAAAGCCAGAGGGGTTCTCTACTAGAATTTTCCAGAGTACTGTATATCCACTGTAGGGTAAGTGGAGGCAGCTGGCTTGTTCACCCAGGTGTCTGGGTAACTAAGGGGAGCAGTGTTCCCATAGCCTTGAAAGGGCCTGCTAACTAGTGTTCTCATAGCCTTGAGACTGGGTCTTATAAACTGTTCCCATAACATAAAGTGGGCTCACATGCGAGGAACTATTATTATGTTATGTAATATTCTGGCAGTTTTCCAGCTTTATTCCCCTCTAGTACTTAAACAGGTAGGGACTCCCTGCTGGGGGCGATGATAATGAGACACACACAAGGGGACAGGTGCCACGATGGGTGCCATGCAGGGGAGCAGGGGCCATGACATGAGACATGCAGATAGACACACAGCTTGTAGCATGCATGGCTCTCCCACCCATGAATAAAGGCATGCCAGACATCCCAACAGTTCTGTGAACATTTTTCCATCTGCACAAATATCATGAACCTGTCTGGCCTTGAAGGGTGGCAACACATCCATACAACAGAAAAATTACATTGCAAAGGCAGAAATTATAGTAGCTTCATTTAATATATAATAATGTGACCTTGGAGTGAATGATGCAGAAGGGTTTATTAACATATAGCATAAGCTGCTCTAATAAAGATACTCTAAAATATGTGGCCCAAAGAAGATAGAAATGTAAATCTATCACATAACAGTCGAGAGTAGATAGTCAACCTTTCGTCCACAGGATCAACCAGAGACCTAGGTTCCTTCTCTTTTGTTGCTCTGCCATTTTCTGTCAGGCTATCTTTGACCTTATGATTAAAACTGGCTTATCTACTTGATTTCATTATATCCTGTGCAGTGAGAGGTGTGGAGAGAAAGCAAATTTCTTTTTTAAGCAAGACATGTTAGGGTTTTGCTTATGTTCTAATGGTGAGAACTTCAGGTATGTGGCCATAGCTAGCTGCAAGAGAGGCTGGAAAATGTGTCTGCAGTTGCACAGTTATGTGCCTAAATAAACTTTGGATGGTGATGGGGACATCTATAAATAAAAGGAAGAATGCATGAATATATAATAAGGGGATCATAACATTCTTTGTCACAGAACATGTGTGTTTGTATGTTTTGCATAATTTCTGCTTGTCCTTTTATAGTTAGTATTTTTGGCTTTTCAGGCCCTATAGTCTGTTTCAATTACTCATTTCTGTCACTGTAGCACAAAAGCAGCAATAGACAATACATAAATGAATGGGCACAGTTGTGTTCCAATAAAGCTTTATTTACAAAAAACAAGCTCTGGGCTATTTGGCCTGCAGGCCAATTTGTTGACCCCAGCTTTAATATAGGAAAATTCACTCTTGTTATTTTCTCTGCATATGTCCAAGATAGAAATTCAAGATTATTTCTAATATTGCTATCCTCTTCCACAGTGAAATTACTGCTAAATCATGTTACTCTTTTTGTGTCTCTTTTGGTCCCTATGTTTCTGTATCCAAGTTGAAAAAAGAAAATCACTTACTAACCTCTGCTATATAGTGCTGTATTTTAATTGTTCTGTCTTAACTTAGTTTGACCACATCAGCCCTACTATATCAAGTTTCTTTCCTGATATGACTAATTCATCCTTCAATACATATACTATATTGCTGTAATGAGTGTGGTTGTAATACTAACTTTTCAGCCAATTTTCATATGCAGAGGGTCATGTTATCCATAGCATTACTAACACAGTAAACATCTAATATAAGCATATTAGTCTTCTATTGCCCTGTAACAAATTACCACAAACTCAGTAGCTTAAAACAATGTAAATTTTTTATCCCATAGTTTCTGTGGATCAGGAGGTCTGGGCATTGTTTAGTTAGACCCTCAGCTCAGAGTCTCACAAGGCTTGAAATCAAAGTGTCTGCTGGGGTTGCAATCTCCTCTGAGGCTTGGGGTCCTCTTCCAACTCATTTGGGTGATTGTTGGCAGGATAAATTTCCTTACAGCTATAAACTCATGCTGGCTTGCCTCTAGGCAGGAGAATATCTCTGAGCTCAGGGAAGGCCTAAGCTCTTTTAAAGGGCTCCCTTGATTAGATCAGGCCCATTCAGGATAATCTTCCTTTAATTAAGCTAACTCAACTAATTAGGAACCTTAATGAAATATGCAAAACCCCTTTGCCTATCATAACAATCATATGAGTGATACTCTAACACATTTACAGGGAAGGGTTTGGGTTAGGGCATATAAATGGGCAGAAATCTTGGAAACCCAGCAGAATTCTGCCTGTCACAATATCATATAATGACTCCTGAGGCTATGAGTTTGCCTTTCAAAGACTCTATTTTAAAATATAATACATTCAAAATTCTTACATTGGAAATAATAACAATTTAAGCAATGAAAGAATCAAACTGTTTGCACCATGTTTTAAGGCTGTGATGTCAATCCTGTAAGTCTTTATTTTCAGGCTGAAACTACCATTTAGATTACACTTTCTTTTACCAGTTATTGGCCTTGTGGATTTTAAATTGAGTTGGCAGAAGGGAGAGATTACAAATTAAATTCCAGTTGAGCAAATAAAAAAGCATTTAATCATTTCAGTTATTTTCCTCTATTTTTTCATAAGTGCAGATTTTATTAGTCCAACCCACTTCCTTGTATTCTTCTTGAAATGTACCATAATCCTTTCATGTTTCAATATTGTTATGATTGAATTCATATATTATCACAGCAAGTGAACCAGTTTTTGAGTATTCCTTCCCTTAGCCTTAGCCATATGATACTTTGAAAAGAAGGTGTTGCTGAAAATAAAGGACTGAAATTAAATATAACAGTGAATGGAATGTCAGTTCAAACTTAATATCAGGAAAAGCTACTAAATGTAGTGTTTTGTTAATTTTGGAAGGGTCTTCTAAGAGTAAAATTGGCCATTTTTAAATAGCTGAATAAAACATTAGCAAATATCCTGTAGGACATATCCTGCTTTTCTTTTTTGAGAAATGTGCTGATGTGATTCTTCTTTTCACAGATGTGAGAAAACTCGATTTGCTTTTTGAGTTGGAGAAAGGAGAATTGCATTTAATTAGGATTTTTGTTAATCATGAACTTCTAATCATGGTAATGCTTTTAATGATTGTAAAAAGATGAGGAAGCCTTAAATATTAATAAACAAGGACTGTTTATAGTCCTTTACTTCGTTTTGAAAGGAATGCTTATGGTAAGAGGATTTTTATACACTCCTATTTGCAATTCTTTTTTCTACTCCTACCTATCAAAGCTGTTCTTGTCCTCAGTTAGGCAGCTGCACTTCTAGTGATCTGCTTTCAGCACCTTCCAAGCATCCATGGGTTGTTCTGCACGTATGAAGATGGTATTACTAATCCAGCTCCTCAGAATGCTCAGTCTGAATGATGATTTTTTTAAAAATTTTCAGATCATATGGCATGTTATTCAAACACGTAAGTTCATTTAAGGAATTTATGACTGTACATTAGTGAACACACACTACATTTGAAAGCAAAAGACCTGTAGTTTAATATCAGTTTTACTAACAGCTAGTGGCCTTTAGTGGAACAGTAAATCTCTGAAATGCTTGTCTAAAAAAAGGGTTGTAGAGTCAAAACACCTGTTGTCAAATAAGCATTTTAAGAAATGCTTCAGCCCTGGCTGGTGTGGCTTAGTTGGCTGGAGTGTCATCCTGTGAACCAAAGGGTCATGAGTTTGATTCCTGGTTGGGTCACATGCCTGGGTTGTAGGTTCTGTCCCAGTCAGAGCATGTAGGAGGGGCAAACTATCAATGTTTCTCTTTAACATGGATGTTTCTCTCCCTCTCTCTTCCCCTCCATTCCCCTCTCTCTAAAATTGATGAGCATGTCCTCAAATGAGGATTAAAAAAAAAAAGAAAATGAAATGTGTTATACTGTTTCTTTGTCCTGGAGATATACAGTGCATGCACATTAGCATATTGAAGCCTCTGAGAAGTCATGTAGTAAAGATATCCAACAAACTTGGTTGAATCAAGTATTTTCTCACCCCTCTTATTTTTAAACATTTAAAAAAATCCTCACCTGAGGATATGTTTTATTTGTTTTAGAGAGAGAGAAAGGAAAAGAAGGAAGGGGGAGACAAAGAGACAGAAACATTGATGTGAGAAACATCCATAAGCTGCCTCCAGTACGCAACATGACCTGGGGTTGAACTAGCAACTTAGGTATGTGCCCTGACTGGGGATTGAACCTGCAACCTTTTGATGCATGAGACTATGCTCCAACCACCAGGCCAGGACTCATTCCTTTTTTGAATACAATATATTTTGACTATAAAGTTGTCTGAAATTTAATCCATAAAAAGCCCTTTGGAAAATACTGCTATAATTGGAATCACCCAAATTTCCCTTAAATCCACATTTTCTAAGCTTTCCAAGTTATGTGAACTTTTAGAACTGAACTTGCTCTGAGCCAAAAGATCAAGAAATTATATTTTCACTTAAATGGCTTATCTCTGGACATTTGTCTACATATCTAAGGATCCAAAAATTTAGTCAAGAATGGTCTTCAGGTACAGACTTCTGGTCAAGATGGAGGCATAGGTAAATATGCTTCACCTCTGCATACAACTACAGTAAAAATTATGACTAGACTATAAAACAAATATCACCCAGATTCATTGGAAAATTGAGCTGTATGGAAGACCAGCAACCAGGGATTTAAAGAAGTCACAGTCATCCAGATGGGTAGGAGGGGAGGAGACTTGGAAAGCATGGTGATGTGGAGTGGCTCAGAAAGGCGAGGGAACAGTCAGTCCCACACTGACATGGGGTGGATAAAAATCAGGAGGGATACTTTGGGAGTGAGTGATCCCGAACCCAGATCAGACCATGTAGTCCAAGGTTCCAGATCCAGGAGAATAAGTCCCCATAAATTCTGGCTGTAAAAACCAGTTGGGGTTGGGACAGTGGAAGAAACTGTGGGATTCTCAAGGGATTCCTCTTAATGGGACCGAAATGATTTCAGGACTCACACAGACCCACCCCTTCTGGGATCCAGCACCAGGGCAACAGCTGGAAGGGCACCAGTGGCATACAGGGAGGAGGGGAGAAAGTGAAGTGACTGGCAACAGGGCAAGTGCCAGGAGACAGCTTCCTCCAGGGCAATCTCCAGAGGCCAAGCAGCAGCATTGTCTTCTCTCTGAGCCCTCCACCCACATAGAGCCACAAAGTGGTGAAATGGGTTGCCCTGCCCTGGCGATTACCTAAGGCTCCACCCCAAACAATTTATAGGTACCCTTTTTACAGTAGGCCACACTGCTAAGACAGAGAGTCAAAGCAGCTCTACCTCAATACAGAGAAACAAACACAGGGAGGCTGCCAAATTGAGGAGGCAAATAAATATGGCCCAAATGAAAGAACAGACCAAAACTCCAGGAAAATAACTAAACAAAATGGAGGTAAACAACCTATCATGCAGAGTTCAAAACACTGGTTATCAGGATCCTCAAGGAACTCACTGGGTACTGAAACAGGTTAAAAAAGACCCAGGCAGAAGTAAAGGTTGCATTAACTGAAATAAAGAAAAATCTACAGGGAACCAACAGTGAGGGAATGAAGCTGAGAATCAAATTAATAATTTGGAACATAAGGAAGAAAAAAGAATTAAAAAAATGAGAATAAAATAAGGAGACTTTGGGACATCTCCAAATGTACCAACATCTGAATCATGGGGGTGCCAGAAAGAGGAGAGGAAGAGCAAGAAACTGGAAATGTATTAAAAAAATAATGAAAGAAAACTTCCCTAATTTCATGAAGGAAATAGATATGTAAGTCCAGAAAGCACAGAAAGTCCCAAACAAGCTGGACCTAAAGAGGACCATACCAAGACACATCATAATTAAAATACCAAAGGTTAAAGCTGAAGAGAGAATCTTAAAAGCAGCAAGAGAAAAGCGGATAGTTACCTTCAAAGGAGTTCCCATAAAACTCTCAGTTGATTTCCCAAAATAAACCTTGTAGGCTAGAAGAGGCTGGCAAAAAGTATTCAAAGTGATGAAAAGCAAGAACCTATAACTTCTATTACTCTATCCAGCAAAACTATCATTTAGGATTAAAGGGTAGATAAACTGCTCCCCAGACAAGGTAAAACTAAAGGAGTTCATTATCACAAGGCCATTATTATGTAAAATGTTAAAGGGAACTATATAAGAAAAAGAAGATCAAACCTATGAACATTAAAATGGCAACAAATGCACAACTATCAAAAACTGAATCCAAAGAGCAAATTAGGCAAACTAAGCAAACAAGCAGAACAGGAACAGAATCATAGTTATGGAGATCATTTGGGGGATTATCAGCTGGGAGGGGGAAGGGGAGAATGGGGGAAAAGGTGCAGGGATTAAGAAGTACAAATTGGTAGGTACAAAATAGACAGGAGGATGTTAAGAACAGTATAGGAAATACAGTAACCAAATAACTTACATGCATTACCCAGGAACATGAACCAAGGGAGGGGACTGCTGAAGGGAATGGGGGTCCTGGGTGGAGGGAGACAAAGGGGAAAAATTGGGACAATTGTAATAGCATAATGAATAAAATATATTTTAAAAGAATAGTCTTCAGCCCTGGCTGGTGTAGCTCAGTGGATTGAGCATGGGCTGTGAACCAAACATCGCAGGTTCGATTCCCAGTCAGGGCACATGCCTAGGTTGCAGGCCACGGCCCCCAGCAACCACACATTGAGGTTTTTCTCTGTCTCTCTCCCCTTCCCTTCCCCCTCTAAAAATAAATAAATAAAATTTAAAAAAAGAATAGTCTTCAATACTTTGTATTTTTAATTATAATCATATTCAGTGTCTACAAACTTGGCTTCATTGTTTATGTTTTCAGACTTTACTCATTAATTGCCTTTTACTTATTTTTCAAAGGAACACTAATTAATCTCTTGGTAATATTAATTAGCAAGCCTCAGATTCCAAAATCTTGTCCTATCCAGTTGGTGGTTGAGTCTTTAGTTGAGATATCTTTGGATGTTGAGGTGAGATGAGAATTTTGGCATCAATTAAACAAGAATATAGGGTCCCTGGCTTCTTATCTTTTAATGTGGACTGTGACATTGTAGAATATAGATATATAGTTAAATCAAAGAATAACTTTTGTCATTAACCTCAAAACTTAATATATCAATTTTATATGAATTATTTCCCTTAGTATACATATGTAAGACATGTATACTAAGGAAAATAATGAGCATTCTATATATATTAGATAAATCTGTTTGTCTCTATACAAAATAGATATGCATTGGGTTGACCAAAAAGTCCATATAGTTTTTTCCATAAAATAAAAGACACATTTTTAATTTTAACCAGCTGTTATTGTTATTTTGGCTATTTGGCTATACCTATTGTTATAGCTGTTATGGCTATTTTGAGTACGTCAGCTATCTCCTGCATGGTAGAACATTGATTGTTCTCAATTAGTGTTTTGATTTGATTGCTGTCAGCTTCAGCTGGTCTACCCAACCATGGAGCATTGATCATCCAGCAAGAAATCTCAAGCACGAAAACTCGCAAACCGCTTTAGACATGTTTGATCAGTCACAGTACCTTCTCCACACACTGCACAAATCTTTTATTGAGTTTCAGTTGTGTTTTTACCTTTCTTGAAATAATAAAGCATAATATACCAAAAAATACTGTGTATTTTCTTGTCTTGCAGGGGCTGGGTACAGGTGGGGAAAAGGGGTAAAATGGGGGCCATCTGCAATAGTGTCGACAATTGAAAAAAAAAGTTAGTGCAGTAGTCCAGGTGAGGGATAATATGGACCAGAAGGAAGTCTTGTTTGACTCCCAAATAGTACTAGGCTTTCTTTCTAGAGCTCTCCTAACTTCCTATAGTTTTCTTCTATAGCTCTTACCTCATTTTGCCACTATGCATTTATTTATTTGGTTATTAGATTGATGTATATTCCCCACTAGATTGTATATTTCACAGGGTAGAGGCCATGTCTCTGTTGTTCTCCATTGTATCCCCAACACCTAGTACAGAGTCTGGTGCATATTTGCATAAGTATGCAAGTGAAGAAAGAAAAGGGATGGCTGTTATAAAGAGAAGAGATTCCAGAAAATTTTGGGAAACTGAATTGATAGATTGATGTGGAAATAAAGCATGAAGATTAGATGATTTTAGATTCTGGCCTGGGTGTCAGATAACAATTGCAACAAGAAGAGGAGATGCTGTATTTCAAAGGGGAAATACTGAGATTGGTTTGAGGTTGATTGATTTGATTTGGCTACGGTATTTCCATATGAAAATATCTAGTGGGCAGAATAGACAGGTCTGTGTTTCCTGTTTTTGGATTTGCTGACCTTTTGCACCTGGGCTATTACTACAATCATGAGCAGATCATATAAATTTTGTTCTGAGGTCTAATAGAGTGGGAAATTTTTAAACTATTGCTCTTTCTGGCAAAGAATATTGTTAGGGAAAATGTGTTGGCCTATAGCACGCCCACAGACACAGTTCTCATCCGCCAAGCGGCCTATGGGCTAGAAGACATCCTCAACAGTTTTTGGAGTTCTTGAGAGCAACAAACTGTCTCTATATTTACCCAGATCATAAAAGTTATAGCACAAGTTGCATGTAAGCCTAAATTTCCAAGAATCTCCTATCTTAATTCTAGTGAGCATATTTTTACTATTTTGAAAGAAAGTAGAGCAATTGATCTGAATGATTTTGCAAATCAGTGTGCATTTTTTGTATTAGTGTTTGGTGGGACATTGTATCTTCTTTCCCTAACCCACTTTCTCAGACATTATTAAACATGTAGTCTTTTTTATGAGAACCACTTTTTTTTTTGAGAATGACTAAACCAAAGAAAACAGGAAAATTAACCACACTAATTTATACTTTCAGTTAGCCAAAAATTCTTTTATAAGTATCTAAAAGGAACCAGGAGAAATTACCATTTTTGGCTCTGCCAATGATATTGCATTGATTATTATCTAAAATTCTAGTGACAGGAGCTTATCCTACAATATAGCTATAGTTACAGCTACAGCACTTTTGTATAAGATACTTCTTGTTTTTCAGCAGATACAATATACATTTTTATTATACATATTATATTGTGCAGTTATTATATATGTGTAGTATATCATTATATATTATGTGACTACTAATATACCTTTAAAATGCTTGTATTAGAGAAGGTCTCCAAAACTGGTTAACTCAAATGATAAGACTTCTGCTCTTAAGTATTCATCTAGCTTATTTTCTTTTAAGTTTATTTTTTTATTTTAAGTATATTTTATTTACTATACTGTTACAATTGTCCCCATTTTTCCCCTTTGCCCCCCTCCACCCAGTACCTCCCTTCCATCCAGCAATACCCGCTTCCTTAGTTCACATCAATGGGTCATGTGTGCAAGTTCTTTGGCTTCTCCATTTCCTATACTATTCTTAATATTCCCATCTATTTTGTTCCTACCAACTATGCTTCTTAATCCCTGTACCTTTTCCTTCATTCTCCCTCTTCCCCCTACCTGCTGATGCCCCTCCAGATGATCACTATACCTATGTTTCTGTTCCTATTGTGATTGTTTGTTTAGTTTGTTTTTATTTTTTAGATTCAGTTGTTGATAATTGTGTTTGATGTCATTTTAATGTTCATAGTTTTGATCTTCTTCTTTTTCTTATATAATTTCCTTTAACACTTCATATAATAATGGTTTGGTGATGATGAATTCCTTTAGTTTTACCTTATCTGGGAAGCACTTTATCTGCCCTTCAATTCTAAATGATAACTTTGCTTGATAGAGTAATCTTGGTTTTAAGGACTTCTTGAAAGAAGTATTCATCACTTCTGGCCTGCAAAGTTTCTCTTGAGAAATCAGCCGACAGTCTTATGGGAACTCCCCTGTAGGTAACTAACTCCTTTTCTCTTGCTGCTTCTAACATTCTCTCTGTATCTTTAATCTTTGACATTGTAACTATGATGTGTCTTGGAGTGGGCCTCTTTGCATCCATCTTGTTTGGAACTCTCAGTACTTCCTGGACTTGCATGTCTATTTCCTTCATCAAATTAGGGAAGTTTTCTTTCATTATTTTTTTCACATAGATTTCCAATTTCTTTCTCTTTCTCTTCTCCTTCTGGCACCCCTATGATGCAAATGTTGGACTTCTTGAAGTTGTCCCAGAGGCTGCTTACACTATTCTCTGTTTTTTGGATTATTTTTTCTTCTTCTTGTTCTGCTTGGTTGTGTTTTTTTGCTTCCTTATGTTCCAAATAATTGATATCATCTTGGCTTCATCCACTCTACTGCTGTTTCCTTGTAAATTGTTCTCATTTCAATTACTGTATCCTTTGTTTCTGACTGGATATTTTTTATGCTGCTGAGGTCCTTTCTAAGTTCCTTGAGCATCTTTATAACAAGTGTTTTGAACTCTGCATCTGATAGATTGCCTGTCTCCCTTTTGTTTAGCTCTTTCTCTGGAGTTTTGATCTGATCTTTCATTTTGGGTCACAGTTTCTTTATCTCCTCATTTTGGCAGCCTCCCATGTGTTTGTTTCTATGTATTAGGTAGAGCTGCTTTGACTTCATTGTCTTGGTAGTGTGGTCTAATGTAGTAGGTGTTCTGCAGAGTCCAGTGGCACAGCCTCCCCACTGGCCAAGCTGGGTATTCAAGGTACACCCTTCATGTGGGTTGAGTACACCCTTTTGTAGTTGAGCCTTGGTTGCTGTTGGCAGATCAATGCGAGGCATTTACTCAGGTCAGTCAGCTGCAAGGATGGGTTGTGACCACTTACCACCAACCTCTGCCCTCTGTGGGGGATCAGCTGTGCAGGGGCAGGGTGGTGGTGCTCTGAATGGTCTATACTGTCCACTTGGTGGACTGGCTCTGAGGTTTCCCAGGTGGTGCAGGTCAAGGTCACCCCGATCTGTGTTCTCCCCTTGGACTGCCCTTCCTGACCTATAAAGCAATCTGAGATGGCTGCTTCTTGTGCTGGGCTTCGAGATTCCCAGGCGAAGTCAAGCTGTGAATTTAGGCTGGCTGCTGCTAATGCCTGGCCTTGGGGTACTTAGCAAGAGGTTCGAGGATTGAGGGCTCACTGAGTCTGGCTATTGCTTGTTTGAGAGGATTTAGGAAATTCTGAAGCATGAGTCAAGAGCAACCATTCATATGGAAAAGCAACTTGGGTGGACCCATAAGTTGGGTGGGGCAGAGTCTCTGGGGATCTGCAAGACAGAGCAGTGTTAGCCAGGTTGATGCAGTCTCAGATACGTTACCAGCTTGCCAGTTCTGTGGGAGGAGGGTTTAGAAAAGCGACAATGGCCTCTGCTTTCCCTAATGCCAAACACTTCAGTTTCTCCCTGTGTGCCACTGGTGCCTTTCAAGGTGCTACCTTGGTGCTGGAGCTAAGAGGGAGTGAATCTGAGTAAGTCTGTGGTCAAGAGGAAGCATAGGCAGACATGGCTCAGCGCTTCCCACAACCACATCAAAATTACAACTAAAATATAGAACAACCATCACTCAGAAAGACTAGAAATCAAGTTGAATGGTAGTCTGACAACTATGGAGTTAAAGAAACTATATCCATCCAGACTGGTAGGAGGGGCACAGACTCAGAACAGGCTGGTCTCTCACCGATGTGTAGTAGGTAAAAATTCAGGAGGGATATTTCAGGAGTAAGGAGTCTCAGCCCCACACCAGGCCCACCAGTCCAGGGTTTCAGTGCTGGAAAGCTAAGCCCCCACAACTTCTGGCTGCAAAAAAACAGAGGGGTTTGAATTGGTGGAAGAAACTCCTGGAGCCCAAAGCTATTTCTCTTAAAAAAAAAAAAAACCCACACAGACTCACCTACTCATTCATTCTGAGTTCAAGGGCCTGGGTGACAGTTTGAAGGGCACCAGTGGCATAATGGAAGAGGCTGAAGCATCTGGCATCAGGGCAAGCAGAAGCCATTTTCCCTTTTCTGAGCCCTCCACCCATAGAGCCATGGAGTTGGCTTGTTGCTGCCATATTTGAACTCCATTAACCTGACTAACACTGTTTGACCTTCTTGGGGGTCCGCAGAGACTCAGACCTAACCAACTTACAGGCCCACCCAAGCTGTTTTTCCATATGAATTACTGGTCTTTGCTCCTGCTTTACAACTCTCTAAATACTATCAAACAAGCAACAGCTGGCCTAAGTGAGCCCCAGGCCTGGCATTATTAGCAGCCAGCTTAGATTCACATCTTTGCCTCACCTGGGAATCTCCAAGCCCAGCACAAGTAGCAGCCATCTCAGATTGCTTTATAGGTCAGGAAGGGCAGTCCAAGGGGAGAACACAGATCGGGGTGACCTTGACCTGCACCACCTGGGAAACCTCAGAGCCAGTCCACCAAGTGGACAGTATAGACCATTCAGAGCACCACCACCCTGCCCCTGCACAGCTGATCCCCCACAGAGGGCAGAGGTTGGTGGTAAGTGGTCACAACCCATCCTTGCAGCTGACTGACCTGAGTAAATGCCTCGCATTGATCTGCCAACAGCAACCAAGGCTCAACTACAAAAGGGTGTACTCAACCCACATGAAGGGTGTACCTTGAATACCCAGCTTGGCCAGTGGGGAGGCTGTGCCACTGGACTCTGCAGAACACCTACTACATTAGACCACACTACCAAGACAATGAAGTCAAAGCAGCTCTACCTAATACATAGAAACAAACACATGGGAGGCTGCCAAAATGAGGAGATAAAGAAACTGTGACCCAAAATGAAAGATCAGATCAAAACTCCAGAGAAAGAGCTAAACAAAAGGGAGACAGGCAATCTATCAGATGCAGAGTTCAAAACACTTGTTATAAAGATGCTCAAGGAACTTAGAAAGGACCTCAGCAGCATAAAAAATATCCAGTCAGAAACAAAGGATACAGTAATTGAAATGAGAACAATTTACAAGGAAACAGCAGTAGAGTGGATGAAGCCAAGATGATATCAATTATTTGGAACATAAGGAAGCAAAAAACACAACCAAGCAGAACAAGAAGAAGAAAAAATAATCCAAAAAACAGAGAATAGTGTAAGCAGCCTCTGGGACAACTTCAAGAAGTCCAACATTTGCATCATAGGGGTGCCAGAAGGAGAAGAGAAAGAGAAAGAAATTGGAAATCTATGTGAAAAAAATAATGAAAGAAAACTTCCCTAATTTGATGAAGGAAATAGACATGCAAGTCCAGGAAGTACTGAGAGTTCCAAACAAGATGGATGCAAAGAGGCCCACTCCAAGACACATCATAGTTACAATGTCAAAGATTAAAGATACAGAGAGAATGTTAGAAGCAGCAAGAGAAAAGGAGTTAGTTACCTACAGGGGAGTTCCCATAAGACTGTCGGCTGATTTCTCAAGAGAAACTTTGCAGGCTGGAAGGGATCTGCAAAAAAATATTTAAAGTTATAAAAAGCAGGGACCTATAGCCAAGATTGCTCTACCCAGGAAAGTTATCATTTAGAATGGAAGGGCAGATAAAGAGCTCCCCAGGCCAAAAAAAACTAATGGAGTTCATCACCAAACCATTATTATATGAAATGTTAAAGGGACTTATTAAAGAAAAAGAAGATCAAAACTATGAACAATATAATAGCAAAAAATACAAATCTATCAATAATTAAATCTAAAAAATGATGGGGGGGTTGTGGTAGGTGGGTGAAGAGGTGAGGGGATTAAAAAGTATAAATAGGTAGTATGCAATACCCACAGGGATGTAAAGAACAGTATAGGAAATGGAGTAGACAAAGAGACTATATGCATTACCCATGGACATGAACAAGGATGTGTGGATTGCCTAAAGGGAATAGGGGTGCTGGGTGGAGGGGAGCAAATGGGGAAATATTGGGACAATTGTAATAGCATAAATAATAAAACATAATTAAAAATATGATTATGTTATCACTTGCTTTAAATCACTCACAATAAATAAAGACATAATGAATAAAGACTAAATTCCTTACTATGTCCTATAAGGCCATGCACATTATGGTCCTCCAGCCTCACCTAATCCCTCACTCTCCCAGCTATGTGGGTTTTTTACTCACTGCCTACCCCAACACCCTCAACTCTTTCATAGGACCTTTACCACCTGTCTGTCTGTCTGAAATACTTTCCCCTCCCTTTCCCATCTAGTTAACTCCCACTCATCCTTCAGGCCCCAGTAGCCCTTCTTGGGGTGAACTGGGTGGATGATTCCCTGACTTCTAAGTCAGATTCCCCCATTATGGCACACATAGACATAGCATGGCACTTTCTTCCCTTCCTCCATAGGACTGTTACCACTGAACTTCACATTTGTTTGTGTTATTGCTTGTTTCTTCCTATGGTAGCCATTAGTGCCTAAACAAATTCTGGTTCTCTGTTCTTCCAGACACAGCATTCCAGGAATGCACTTCCCTTCCTTATTGAAATTAGGTGGGTCTCTGTTCTTGCTTTCGCCAATGGAATGTGAACAGAAGTAGCCTGTGTCACTTCTTGTCAGAAGGTTTAGGAGATAGTACATGCTTCCCTGCATTCTTTTTTTTCCTTCTGGAGTGGTGACTGGCAACATTCCATATGGTTCCAGGAACTACAATGAGCAGAATGCTGGACCAAACCATTAGGGACATTAAGTATGAGAAAGTAATAAGCCCTTGCTGTTCTAAGCAAAACTTGATATTTTGTGATATTTGTTACCATAGTCTATCATGGCTGATATCTTTCTCCCCCAACAGACCCCAAGTGCCATGAAAATAAGAGCTTTGTCTGTTGTGCGAGGCACATAATGAATGTGCAATAAAATAGATGCTGAATTAATTCTAATACAGGCTTTATCCATTAATCTCTTCTCATCTCCCCAAACTTAGATTTCTTTTATTCATCCATGTATCCATACATTCAATCAACATACATTTAATTAGAAATCTCTTCAAAAGGTAATAATTCAAACTAAATTTTCATTGCTGATGGAGGATTGGACATGAGGTAATACGTTTTCTTTCTATATACAAACCTGCCTCCATTGACCATTCGGGCGCTCCTGCTGTCAGCTGTCTTTCTAGAGTGACGTAGAGCCTGTCCTATGGAATCTAGATTCTCATGCCAGATCCCTGTGACAAAAACCTGGCTGCAGCCAGAGGAGGGTACACTTGTCAGTAGCATAGCCAACTGCTTTATTTGGGAATTGAGCCCATGAACCTGGCTCCTTTAGCAGCACACAGTCCCTAACCAGTCTCATGCTGACATTGAGGAGTGTCAAAGTTATAGTAATTCACAGCAACAGAAGCTTATGTGTGCAAGATGCAAGATGCTTTTTTTTCTGTGCAGTACAGACCCTAGCATCTGAGTCGAAGTGTGAAATTTGGGGTCCTAAGGACTCCAAACAATAGGAACATTTCTTTATCAACCCCTAGGGTTGCTTCACCAAAGGACTGAAGTGAGTATGAGGACAGTCTGTGACCAAAAAGCATGTCAGGATGAAGGTTGGCAAAACACACCCCGCCCCAACACTGTGGAAAGCTTCTGTATTAACCCAGTTCTGAAGAGTATGGGCAAAATTGACTACCTGGGAGAAATGTGCAAGCAAAGAAACTTGGAATCATTGAATATACTTGCTTGTCGGTCAGTTCTGGCTGATTATCTTACTTGGTTAGAGCAAAATGCTAAAAGTTAAAAATCTGGTCCCCAAAAGGTCATTGCTTTGTCCCACTGCTCCAGGCTCTCTAACCTCAATCTGTGTTTGCCTGACACAGTATTTACTCAGGATGTGTAAATGGATGTGGAAAACCTGCTTCAAACCACCTGCCCTACTTAGAAAGGGTCAGTGGCTAGCTACATCAGTAAAAAAGGTGATGCATTAATTGATACTAACTTAATGGATGTGTAGTATGACTTGCTGATAGAGCTTGAAAGAACACTAACATTCTTTTCTGTTTTTTGTAGTAGCCTACATTTATGGATAGTGGTTTGAAAATATACCCCCCTCAGAAGATTTATAGAATCCATGGTTCTCGTTTTTTATTTTTTTTAATATTTGGTTCTGTTGTGAATGACAGCTTTTTGTGTATGTGAGTAGAAGGAACCCAGTAACTTCACATTGTTGCTACTTTTTCCACTTTAATTTCTCCCTGAGAAATGATAACACAAAGTGCTTTAGATAAAAACCCCAGCTAACAGTGATATCACCACCACTTGCTTGTTTCAAGCCTGGTTTTCTTTGTGTTTTCACTTGGTATTTCTCAATGTGTGGTCCAGAGAACAAGTCCATCAGAATTGTTTATGGCAAATATCTGGAGGAGAGGGATTCTGTGTGTTTAGTGAGTTGCATAGGTGATTTTTTTTTGCATAGGTGATTTTTATGCACGCTGAATTTTGAGAACCACAGCCTTGTAGGGACCATCCTGGGAAGCCACAGTCGTGCGGTTTTCACAGTAAGATAGAAGAGAAACCATCTTCCCTACTAGTGCAGGAGGCCACAGACCTTTCCAAGATCCCCTTCTGTCCCCACTTCTGCTTCCAGTGTTCTGTTTCCCCTTTGGAGCCAAACTTTCTTGACAGTCAGTACTTGTTCTGATCCTGCTTATAGGGGGCAACTGGTGAACCCAACTGGCTATAGTCTCGCACTCTGAGTACCATTTCAATGAGAAACAGTGCAAAGGCACTGGCATAAGGGTGGTGAGGGCTTCAGCCTCAATTTCTAGTCGAGCATCCAGCTGCAATAGGTGCTCTTATGGGTGGCATGCAGCCTCTGTGTAACTGCATTTTCCTTGTCTAAGCTACTTTTGCGGCTGGTGTTGTGAAGCAAGTGGTGAAGGGGCTTTCAGCTTCATTTCAGCTGTTAAGTCCCAGCCAAGCAGTTCTGTTGTACCAGCAGTTTTACATCCTCAAGAGTCGCCTGCAGTACAGCAAGACTTCAGCTGAGTATATTAGGAGAAATGACAGAGAAGAATTCAGGTAAGAAGTCTAAATCTAACCTGCAGTAAAATCCATTCATTTCTAATATTCATGCAAAACTGCAACATGGCCAAATATTTAGAAGATTAAGTGACAATGGGAAATTCCATTTTTGCTTTTAATAATATCTCAGTTTGATCTGTAGTAAGGTAGGATTTGGGGGAGCTCTAAGAACCATTGCCATTTGAAATATATTCCCAGGTCAGAAAAGACTAGTGAAACATCAAACTCTCTTTGATGAACTGTTTCTCACCCGTTGTCTTTATTGCAACCAGCATCTCACAGAAGTTGTAATGATTTTAACATGCTGTGAGAATTAAGAGTAACAAACCCCACTGATAAGGATGAAAAATTATGGATTGTGAATTCAACTGAGTCACTGGGGAAGAAACTGATAAAGGAGAAACAATGAATGAATGCAGTTATTAGATTTTTGTTTGTTTGTTTTATTTCCCCCTCTTACTCTCCTCAGTCAGGAGGCAATAAGAAAGAGCAGTTGTAGCAAGCCTTGGTTTCATCAGCCAGCTTGTTCTGCATGCAGCTCAGGGGTTCCTACTTCTATTTATAGGCTGGCAAAGCCAAGTGCACTTAGCTCTACAGCCCTGCATCAGCTCCTATCAAGAAAAAAAAAAAAACAGGTTGTGTCTGACTTAAGATGGAAAGGGTACAGCAGGCATAGCTTCACTACCAGTTTGCATAGAGACATAAAAGGATGTAGAGATAGATATACATTATGGCCTTAGATTGGCTTTAAAAAAATTAGCCCAATTTGTGGATTCTGTTTTTCCTCCATGTAGTTTTACAACATAGGTTCCACTTTGGCTCCTATAAAAGGGCTTTCCTTGGCCTGCTCTGAGTTGGTCCAAACAATCCATTTTTTCCTCATTTTTTGAGGTAAAATTCATATATCATGAAATTCACCGTTTTAAACATTTTAAAGTGGCAATTCAGTGGCTTTGAATACATTTTGCAATGTTATGCAAGCACAACTCACTACCTAATGGCAGAACATTTTCACTGCCCCCAAAGAAACCTGGTACTCATGAAGCAGTTCTCCCCTCCACCAGCCCCTGACAACCACAAATCTGCTTTCTGTTTCTATGGAGTTGCCTATGGTGGACACTTCAAATCAATGGACTCATGCAATATAAAGCCTTTTGTGTCTGGCTTCTTTCACTTAGCATAATGTTTTCAAGGGTCACCCATGCTGTAGCATGTATCGCATAACCCGATTTTTAAAAATGACTTACCCACATTCAAAGATCAGAGGTACTGGCAAAAATGGCATCATACTTCTGCATGACAATAGTTGGCCGAAGCTCAATAGCAGCTACACTCTTGGGTGATATTGCACAGTTTAATTTGCCACTGGCTCCTCTTTCTATTCTTTATCTTAACTTTACTCCTAATATGTTACCTGCAGGCATCTAGATTTGTGACCTGTGTCTTAAACTAGTGATTTTCAGCTTGCCATGCATTGAAATCACCAGAATGACTATTTAAAAAAATGCTAACACCCAGGTCTCACATGTAGAAATTCTGTTCAATTTTTCTGAGGCAGGGTCTGGACATAGACATTGGAAGAGAAAGACTCTCTAGGTAATTCTAATATGCACCCAGGGCTGAGAACCAATGTTTTAAGTCATCCCAGGGAATGGCTAAAAGTTTAATCACTCTTGTCCATTCCCCTGGCCTGTCTTATGCTTTTACTGAGGCCACGGGGATGAACCCTGCTCTTCTCTCTTGACTTGGTCCTAGTAGTCACCACAGTTTTGACTCTTTTATCCAACTCCCCCTGTATATTGCCTGGGAAACAAGAGACAGGGGCCTCAGCTCACACTGCAGGGAGGACAGTCCTGGCTTTCTTATTAATGCTTTCATGACTGATACATCATTCATGAAATTCACTTTCTTGGCTGAAGTGAAGTACTTCAGTGAGCTGAAAACTACACATCTCAGAGATCTCCTGGGTCACAAGTGGGGCAGGTTGGAAGGCTGAGGATGTAGGCTGTCTCGTGGTTGAGAGTCCCACACTCAAGTGCCCTACACCAGCGAGTCTGTGCATACTGTTGCAACCAGTGTCAAAACTCTTTTTTTTAAAGCCCCCTATTTTGTTTCTTTTTATGATTGCAGGTACTGTATTCACATGCCAGCCTTGGGAAAAAGGCTCCCACTGGGTTATCCTATTACCCAGCCTACCACTCAACTTTTTCATGAAGTTCTGAAATTGGTTGAACAGAAACAACGTGTGAAATGTTAAAAATTCAGTATAAAATGTTAATCAAAAGTCAACTTAATATTTATGAGAAACATTTTTTGATTTATTTAGTATCTGGCTAACCCCATGTCCTATAAACAAAGATTGTATTTCAATGTTCCATCAACCCCTTGCTAAGAGAAGTCTTTAAAGTTTTTTATGTGTCACGGAAAATAAACTTTAATACATTGCCATAAAGTGGTGCTAAAAACTAGTGTTTCTCTAACACATAGTTTCTAAAGATGTAAAAAACTACAAAGGAAACAGAATTCTGTGGAGAGCAAATGGAGCAAGTGTAAACTAATGAGTTCTGTGGGTGTAATGATGGGAGTGGCGCGGGGCCACGGAAATACCCAGAGATAAATCATTGTGGGGAGAACCAGCCACAAAGCGGTCATTAGAGAAATGCTGAACGGGACGACACTCTCGTTCTCCACCTGTAAACATTCTAGTGACAGAAGTGTTCATGAAGAATGAGCAGAACACAGGCATGAGGAATGTCAGTCCCTCATCCATCATGGAGGGAGAAGCTTAGACTTTCTTCAACAAAGTTAAATGCATTTGCCACTGTGTTTCAGGGGCCTCTGTGCTAATGTGAGCAGTCGAGTGGAGTCTCTGTGCAAGAACAATTGTCTATAAGCACTTATGATCTCCCAACCACTCAAAAAATGTCTTTACTAATCTTATGGCAATAAACTAATTTAATCCACCAAAAATTTAACTTTGATATCACTGTGAGGTATTACTGAATTTGGGCTTTGAAGAATTTAGCATGACTTGAGGGAGTATCAGAGATAAATCCAGCTTGAAAGAAAGAACTCCCAAGCCAGATTTGCCTGTGCTGTGCAGTGGAGACCGTTAAACTCACTCAGGACATCTTATTTCTGGTTCTGCCTCAGCCACTAAGCAGTTGTTTGACCTTGAACAAGTCAGGTAACCTTTCCAGGCCTCCTCTGCTATATAGAAGGATGGGAGTAGAAGTTCTCCGAGCTTTCTCGCAGCTCTAATATTCTCTACCTGTTATAAGACACTTCTCAACACCCTATAACATAGTAGTGCATTCCTCTGCCATTCTGGCTTAGTGGATGATTTCACATTGATTCCAAATAATCCTGCCTTCTTCAGACCAAACATTTCCCTTTCAGCTGTTGCCAACATCACCCTGCATGCTCTCCTAGCCTTCTCCACTACCCCCCATTGAGGACTACAAGTTTTCTACCCTCCAACCTGGGGGCACAAAGGGGAACAAAATGGTGTTTATGAGTGTCCTGGGCTGTGATGTGGGGGATTATTCCAAAGAGATGGTCAGTCAGAAGAATATGAAAATATCCTTGGGAAACAGGAAAGCAACACTTCAAACTGGACAAATGGTGGGCAGTGGACTGATTACTGGTGAATGGTGGAACCAAAAAGAGACAATGAATCAACTCAGCTCTGTCAGCTTCTAAGCAGTGCCCCCAGCTGTGGGCTCTAGAGAGGCCTGGGGGTTTCTCGCCCATGTGCCTTTTTGTCAATGTCATCCCTTCCCTCCCACTGTTGTGTCTGCTTGAGGACCCACCTCATCTAATCTCTGGGGCAAAAGCTCTGGACCTGAATCTTTCTATGTCGGCTCTTTTGGTTGAATATTTGTCACCTTGATTTTCTTATGGCATATGTCTATTCATTTGTACAGTCTGGGATAGAGGTGGGGCAGAGGGAGCCCAGAAATTAATACTTTGAAGGGTTATCCTTTCACAATTCTTTTCTGTTGTGCTTTTGCACTGTGGCCCAATCCAAGAAAATCACTAAATAATCCATCTCCATTAGTGATCAGATACATTTGATTTTCTAAATATTGACTTCAACCACAGAATAATTATTTTTCAGGAAACCTAACTGTAGAAAAATTTTGAATATGAAAATCGCATAAATAACAAAGGATCACCAAGAAGATAAGCACATGGAGCCAGTTTTCAGTCTGGGCTCACGTCTCTGGACTCTGACCACCTTTGCAGCACAAGCATTGATTGCCCTTTACCACAGCTCCACCAGGGGTAGTCACTCACAGCAGGCAGCTCTACCATTCAAAACAAACAAATAGATGTATTAAGGGGTAAGAACGTGGGTATTTTGAGGCCAAAATGGTTGAGTTTCAGTCTCAGCTGCACACTACTTTTGGACCTTGGGAAGTTACTTAACATCTCCAAGTTTCAGTCAATACAAAGATGATAATATAACCCATCCCATAGTGTTGTTAGGAGATTTAAATAGAAAGGTTGCTAAAGCACATAGAATGGTATCTGGTGTGTAGTAAGGAATCAGGAAATGGTATTCATTATTATGATTATTAAGATAATACTGACGCTGGCTGAGAAATTAGGGGTTAATAAGCACTGCCCTTATTTTTTGGACCAATCTGGAGACTCAGAGAACCCTTGATCTCTATAGCATTGAAGAACACATTCACTTAGTTACTAAGTTGAAAACCCAGTTTTCTATCAGCAGGAGTGTGATTTAATTGACAAGTGACTATTTCTACTGCTCACAGCCACGAAGGACTGTTGGCTCTAATTGACATTGTCAGTGAAAGAGGTATGTGGGAAGTACTCTTCCCGAGGGTAGGCAGAAAGCTTTTTAGTCACAAACTTTTTTCAGCCTTTGACCTGAACAGCTAATTACTGATGAAACTGAAGCAGCCATTCTGTACTTACAGAATTCCTAATAGATTCACAGGTAATGTGAGAGGAAATAAATGAAGAGTTTCTTCATTTTACTGAAATCTAGATAATCTACATACTCTGTAAAGGAGGAAAGGTTGATATTTCTATAGTTGATAATCATATTTTACATGTTTCCATTTAACTCTCGCTCACTGGTAGTACCACCTTCGATTGTGTGTAGGAATGCTTGGGAGCACAGTAGTAAATGTGCTATCAGACATTTGGTAAAAATGGTCGAAGCTGGTTAACAGGGATACGCTCCAACTTGTGGCATTATCTTTTCTGTTTCTGAGGTTAGAATCACTTGTTTTGTATTTAACATATGTGATAAATATGGAAGGGAAGCTGGAAATTCCTTGAAGGAATGAATTTGATGGGAATTTTTGAGAGCACTTTAACAGTGTTACCTCCCTGCCTGATTTCTCTTTGTTCATTGCACTTACTTCTAAAATGCAATACCAACCTGTAAGGTCCACTTGGATTTGGATCCGGCTCTCTGTAGGAGGGAGACAGTCAGCACTTCTCCCTCCAGTCAGACCAAGCACTCTTCTGTCTGTACAGCTGTGTCTTTTGGATCCGAAGTTTTCCTCATTTTGAGGAAGGCAGCATGACTCCACGGCTAGAAATCTGGGTAATTGTAACTTGTGGCTAATGGTACAGATGCTGTGTCATAAATATCTCGTTCTGACCCTTGCCTGCCTACGTACTCGTCATTAGACTTTTGGCAGGTAGTTATATTTGCCCTCTTTCAGAACTTTAGTTTTATCAATTAAAAAGCTTACCTTGAGGGTCTTTGTGAATATTCATTCATTTTTATGTAAACAAATAGTTCTATGGCTAGTATACAGGGTCCAGCACAAATAATGCCCCCTTTTTTATTATAAAATCTTTTATTACAAAATCATAACCATGTAATTCTGTAACATAACAATATCACATTCAAGTACACTATATGACACTTCAGGTGAAACATCTGAAACATCCAAATTAAAACTATAAATTAGTATGCCCATATTATTTACCCTACCAACCACACTCAAGCAGGCCTTACTTCTGCCGGACCCTATATATTGGGATGAACCATATGGAATTGCAATTTTCAACTTCAAACTTGTCAATATCCATAATGTCATATCGTTCAAACAATAAAACCCCCTCCATAAGTGGTAGCTATTATATTAACAGAAACACTAACTTGCTTAATGAACTTAAACTTTAAATACATATCCTTTAGCCTAATATCCCAGATAGTATGGCACCTTGTTATAACATGGCTTATTCCTGCACAGATTAAAATAAACCTTAGATCAAATCATATAGTTCAATTACAAATTATTGAGTGGGCACAACATACTTAAATATGTTCAAAATGGAATTTTAAATTGTCTTGATTGCGTTCCCCAGCAATAAAACTCTGTTCCTCTACCAGTCTTCATGTCAGTAAATGGTACTTCGTCCACTCCACTGCTAAAGCCAGACTACCTCCTTTCTCTTCATTCCCCAGATGTAATACATCAGCAGTGCTTATTAGAAATTCCTTCAACATGGATTGGTAACCCACTGATTTCCCATAATTACTGTTACTACCCTCATCTCAACCTCCATTACACGACTGCAATAGCCTATTTAAGTGACACTGCGTTCACCCTTGACACCTACAGTCTTTTTCTAAGGTGAGCAGAGTGATCTTTCGAAGAAGAAAATCAATACAATTTCTGATTTAATGCTTTTCCATTGCTCCCCATTACCCAGGACAGAACCCAAAGTCTTTACTGTGGCTGTCAAGGCCCTGCACGACCTGGCCTCTGACTACCTGGCTCTGTGATCAGACCCAGTCATTCTTGTCTTCACTCACTGTTCCCCAAACGCATTGGCCTTTGTGGTTTTCCTTCAGGTGAATACCCCAGCTTCTTTCAGGCCTTGGAAATTTGCACTGACAAGTGCTTTCCCTGCCCCAATATTCAAATGTGACTTCAAAGAAAGCTGCTTTGATCACTCCGAAGTATTCTCCTACCCACCTACATCACCTTATAATGATTAAGTTTACTTGCTTATACTTTGCAATGTAAGAATTTAAGAATATAAGTTCCATGAAGGTCTGGCCCTCATTTGTCTTGTTCAATAGTATTTCCCCTGGAATAGTGCCTGGCACAAAGTGCCTGTTTTTTGTTTTTTTTTATTAAAAGATTTTATTTATTTATTTATTTATTTATTTATTTATTTATTTATTTATTTTCAGAAAGGAGAAGAGAGGGGGAAAGGAGAGAAACATCAGTGTGTGGTTGCCTCTCACATCCCCCCTACTGGGGACCTGGCCCACAACCCAGGTGTGTGCCCTGACTG